AGTATTATTATTATTATTATTATTATTATTATTATTATTATTTATTATTATTATTATTATTATTATTATTATTATTATTATTATTATTATTATTATTATTATTATTATTATTATTATTATTATTATTATTATTATTATTATTATTATTGTTATCATTATTATTATCATTATATTATTGTTATAATTATGATTACAGGAATAATAATAACAAAATAGTAAGTAATATAATAATAACTCATTAATTTTTGAATTTTAAGAAAACAATTCGAAATGATAAGTGCAAACAAATTAAATGCAATTAATCGTTTTAATAAAATGGAAAGCAACATAAAATGTTAATGCATAAAATGGAAAAAATAAATAAATAAAAGTGATATAAGCAAAAGTACAAAACAATAAAAACACGTAATTTAAATTATCATTTCAACCTTTTAGCAAACTTTTGAATTTTAACTTATATTGTACTTTCTAAGTGTTGAATTTAATTTACAAAAATAACAGGAAAAAATATGTAATTATAAATACAAATGCATTTGCGCTTTTGTATGTATGTGTATGTGTGTGTGTGTGTATGTGTATGTGTATGTGTGTGTGTGTCCCCATATATGTGTACGTGTGTGTGTACACTCATATATATTTGTGACTTCGTGTATTGAGATAATGGCGGGAATATCAGGTGTTTCAGCTATAATCGTCATGCTTAATAGCATAATGCAATTAATTGGCTGTGTCTCATTTTTCTTCTAAACCTCTTCTCTTATTCTCTACCAAATTAAATTGAATTTCTTTCAGGTGACCGCATTACTTTTCTCTTCTTCTCTTCTTGTCATCTCTTTTACTTTACTGTTCGTCTTTTCCCTTTCATTCTATTCTACCGCAAATATTACCCCGTTCATATACTGATATAAGCAATTAATTACTGATTGATTTAGAATAATTTCTGTATTAACAGGTCTGTTCAATGACGAGCAATTATCTTACCTCTCTTTCCATCTTTTCCTTTTTTTTTTGTTTACCTTTTGGTGTTGTTCAGATTTTTTTTTAGATTTTGTGAAATCTTTAGATTTATCGATTTATCGATATAAAATTTAATTTATTGTATTTTATCATCTAATCATAATCGAATTTCCGAATTATTCAAATTACGACTTTTTTTTTAATTAATAAAAAAGCAGCAATAAGCTTGAATAAATTGGATACTTCAATCCGGCAAATGTAGGAAAAAAGAAATGAATTCACAAATTTCTTCTTTCCCAAATAGTGGTATAAGGACTGTTTGATGTTAGCAATTTTATCGTTGCCAAATTTTTCACAACTTTTCCACTCGTTTTAATGTTCGTATTTCTCACTGTTCGATGAGTTTTCTTTTCCTTTTTTTTTTTAAACTACAGAATTAATTACTTGCTTTCATCTCAAGTATTTGCATAATTTGGATAATGAGTATTTAACGAGGTAATATACTTGAATAACTGAATATTGAATAATAAAAAGCTGTGCTAGACGTAAAGATTGAAAGAAATTAATAGATTGTAGTTGATATCTAAAATATCATCGCCATGCTACTTTGAAGACGAAATTATTGATAATGTATTACGACATAGCTGTATCATACTTTATATAATTGCTTAAGTAAGAATTGAGTACATTGTATAGACTAAAACTCATATATCCCAATATTTTTTCTTTCTGCAGCTTCAAATATTGAATTACTTCGTATTCGAAGGCATTCATTCATCCGTAAAATATTAACCACAAACAAGCATCGAAAATCGAACTTGATGACCTCGTTGATTATTTAGCGTGACAATGACAACCATGACAGGTGTCACCATGTTCCCATCCCCAGAAGATCTATCCAACTATTCATACAAGTTCCGTATATTCTCTCTTCTATTCGCATATGCTATACAGATTGGAACGAAATGAACAAGCACGCAATGCACCAACCATCAATCCTTTTGAAATATTAATTAATTAATGGGATAAACATATATATATATATATATATCTTACTCGAATCGATATATATGCATTTGTATTGTTAATGAAATTTAAGAATATAAAATTGAAATACTACTGTTCTATAAATTTTTATTGCATACGGTGAAGAACTCCAGAGTTCAACTGGAAACGTCTTCAAATCCAGAATAATTTAACGAATAACTGATAGAAACTGAAAAAAACAAAAATTGTTTTCAAATCATAAATGAAAATAAGCAAAATAGGTTCATAAGTATCAGAGGAAGAAAAAAGCGCTACGAGTCTTAGTAATATATTAATATATTATAAGAATGAAAAAATTGCAAGCACAAAAAAGAAAAAAATGGTTTCAAGTGACTGTTTGTACAACAATTTGATAGAAGTTGACAAGTCCTCGTTTTATCCAGGCATGACTTCAACATCAGTAATCAACGAAGGACATCCAAAAAGTACGTGAAACTGTATGTTAGCAACTATCTAAAGCAATATATAATTTGATAATTCATGAGTCAGAACATTAACAAAAGAAAGCAAATTTGGTCAAACTCGGAAGTTAAAACCCAAAGTAATAATGATAAAAAAATTCTTAAGTTTAGGAATATCCGAAATCACAGCATCAAGTCATACATTCTTAAATCATTAGTCTTAGCAGAAGAATGGTAAAGAAACTACAAGGGGAAAATCGTCCAAAAAACTCTGCACAACGAATAAAGCATAAGTACAGCAAAACACGATGGATCAGTTAAGCTTTGCTGTTTAAAAAGAAAAAAAAAAAAAATGGATATGAAATTATGCAACTGAAACTCATTTTTTAAGAAAATCAATATACACGACAGAAATGAAGATACAGTGAATACAACTATACAATAAAGGAAAATTTGATAGACAGATGGAGAGATGGAATCGATTCCTTCCTCGCAATTCCCCAAAATTTAATCCACTCGCTGACATAGCTAAAGATGGAAAAGTCGCGTGAAATGTTGAAAAAGATAACTGTTTTAATGATAGACAGCGATTGTTTGATATCAAGATATTCAACAAAAGAAGGAGGAAAATAATGTAATTGTTACCAGTCATCTGGGAACAGCAAAACGTGAAGTATTCCTGATCAAAATTATTTCATGAAATGTTTCATAAACGTAATCAACGCACTTAACGTATAAACTACAATTGGTTAATTTATGTTGTTTTTTGTGCTGTATATCACTCATAATGGAATATAATTTTCCGGAACATGATCGCCATTTTTATCTGCATCTCTTTCAGCTTCCTCATTTCTGTTGAATTCAGATCCGCTAAAATACTCGATATTTCCTTCAGTGGAAATATAATTTTTAAGTGCCAGATAATCTTCCTCTTCCTCCATAATTTCTTCATTCAGTTTGGCAAGACGAATCGATAACTGCAATATGTAGTCTTTTTCATTCAGTTCCTATTAAAATCCCAGTCTTCAGACAGTTGACTAAAATGTAGAACTGATTTTTCAAATTCACTATATACTGGATTTAATTTTCGAAAAATGCTTTCTATATGAAGAATATTAGCTGTTTCGCAATAAAAAACAACGCCATATTTGTAAGAAGTGAGCAAATATTTTTAAAATGACTTTGTTGAATTATACATATTTTCCCAATTTCCCGTTCATCCATAATACGAATTTAACACAAACTTCAAAATTTAGTTTTGCTTCTCGTTCATTTTCAGTGTACAATCGCTCCGCCAATCGGCGCCAATAATTTGCACTAACTTCTGGCGACCTCAGATCTTCAGCTGTTAGTTTCGGCAACTTAATGTCAACTATTACGTCGGTCTGTACCGCAGCCTGGAGAAAAACAGCTAGTGAAAATTTTATTATAAAAGGATTTAGTGCTGTTCTATGGCTTTTGAACAGGAAAGCAATCGCTCAAGGAGTCGTTCCTCTTCTTTTCTTCCCACATAAGTTTCATGCTTCCAAGAAACCTTCGAAATACCGAGTGCTATGTCTTTCAGTTTCTCTGTATCAACTATTTTTGGCTCAAATCCAAAATCATGGATGTTTCAGCCTTTAAGGAGCAAGCTTCCTTACTAGCCTTAGTCCTAAGAGAGAGACACACGTCAGACAGATTTGAAAACCCAAAATGCATCTGGAGTGCCATGATTTCAAACAAAAAAGCAATCTAAAATTGCCGTCTAGAAAAATTAACCCGTTGGTAGAAAGCAAAAGGGTACTGCATAGCAGCATAAACATCTCAAACCTCAATAGTGTTCGGTTTATGATGTAGAAGTTCCGCCTTTAGAACCTTCGTTTCGTCCAACTTCCCTTCAGTGTCTAATAAATTCCTCTTCACATTCTGATTCCCAGTTTTTGTTTCTCTTTGTTTATTCCCATCCTTAACATCAAATTTTGACATCAACTTTATTTTCATTTAAAACTTTTCCGACTGATTCAACAGTGGGATAACCGAACAGTACTATCATGATTATGGTACCACCGAGCCTCATGCTTAAATGGGTGGTCTTGATTTCCTGTTGGAAACCTTATTTTTAACCTTAAAAAGAGTCAAGGAAAAAACCCAAAGTTTATGAGGATTGAATGCTGACAAAAATAAAGCACCATAACAACTTGGTGGATGGGATTTCTGGTGAGATAAAAAATCGACACTTAATCTACCCTCTATCAAGCAGTAATCTTTAACACTGAACCATGTTTAGAAGAGAATGTTCCGAACTTTGAGAGAATTTATTCGGTAAACCGACTTCAGCAGATCAATAAACTAAAACGTTATCTTTTTCTTGTTCGTCTTCCAGTAATTTATGCACTTGAAATGCAACAATGATGTGGTACTTACAGGCTGCACGTTGGCATTAGCTGTCGTTGTTTTCAAAACTTTCAACTCCCCTGTTTCCCGCGTTGTATGTGTCGATATATTCTGCACCTGGCAAAGTGTTCCACCTGGCATATTTTCAAGCGTCCTTCTGAGTTTTTACAAAGTGAGCAGCTGAAATCGGAAAGAAAACAAATAGAAGAAATATGTAAACTATATAAATGCAAGTACTGTTAGAAAATATATATACTTTCACATGTTTTTGGATCTAAATGTTGTCATGCCACGTATGTAAACAAGTAGTGTCTGAGAATATTGGTTTTTGCAGATGAATCCTGAAAAACATGTCAAAATGTGTATGTTTCCTAACGAGTAAATTTGAAGATCAAGCAATTATCGAAACTGAAAATAGAACGAGAGCAATGTATAAAGGCTGAAGAATGTATAGGAAATACCAACGAAAGAACATAAAATCTATACAAAGGTATGAACAGGAAAAATGACTTGAAACTTTATCAGGTGAAAATAAAACAAACAGTACATACAATTATAGAACATACTGGGGACTGTAGATTTCGTGACCACTTAAAATGATCACCTCTCTTCGATTCTGTGTCAGCACAGCATGATAAAACATTGACTTAAATTCACAATGTAAAATCATCTATAGCACCTTGTCATCGTTAAATATCACCGCTAAATTATAATATCTCAAATAACATGATGACCGCAACAAGAAATCATGCATTCTGCACTTTAATCCTGTTATTTCTCTTTACCATTAATCACTCGCGCCATAGGCGGTATTTTTTCAGCAGTATCAGACTAATAAAATTATTGCATTGCAGATTGAAGAATATGATTTCCCTTTCAAATCAATGAAGTAAACACCAGGAAATAGGCGCATAACAACTACAGATATAAATCATGACAGTGAATTCTTTATGAACTAGATAAATTCAAGGTGATGATGAGGAGGTGGATTTAGTCTCGTTAATACCATTATCTAGACACTGCGCTTTTTCCAGCATTTCGGTATTCAGATCTTTGAGTTCGTCAAGCCGAGTTTTTCTGCTGTTTATCAAATTTTTTAGCTAAAAAAGATTAACATCTGTATGCGTTAATAACACAGCATAGTAATTAAGGATTACTATGAAATTAGTTTTGTCATATAACTTAACAAATATTGCATAGTTGAGAAACCACGAATTGATTCAAAAATCAGAAATGTTTGGGATATTTGTAAAATCAAAACATTCAATTAAAATAGTGTTGGCACGGACTATGAGAAGTTATCATAAATAATACTAAAGAATATGACTCCCACCGAACTATTTTAAACATATGTCAGAAAACCAGCTCCTATACTTCATGAAATTTTATTTTTTCTCACATTAAGATTGTCCGCTCGTAGCTTGTCCAATTCACTAGCAAATTTTCCAGCTACAAAACGCCAAAACTCCATATTGGCACTTTCCAAATTATAAGCTTCAAGTGAACAGGGCATTGAAAATTCCGTTTCTATTGATTCATGAAGCATAACCCGGGTTTCTTCCTGAAACAAATTACAGACTAATTTGCATAAATCTAATCGCCCAGTAATATCGAGAAGAATCACGGGGCATAAAACGGCTAAGTTACCATAAATTGACTCGGTAGTAACTGTAATCAATTGCTCATCGAATAACCACAGTTGATTGAAGAGTAGACTTAATTATCACCTCCCTTAGTTCCTAGAAATCTGCTCCACAAATCTCAGAGCAACTAAGAACTGTCCGGATTCCAAGTTAGAACAATTATAAAAAAGTAGTTCATTAAGCCTTTGTTACTGATAAGCATTCCAGTGAAAATAATCCATATCGAAATAGTATTAACAACTAATTTCGTACATGTTTGGGTAACTGACCTTTTTCTTGATCCGTTCCAGCTGCTTTTTCAGTATTGTTGACGAAAGATTTTCATCACCCAGTTGCTCATCCATACTTTACTAAAACAATCTATAATAAATCTCAATCTATATTAAACCCGCAAACTATCAAAAATGTTTAATTGCATCCCTTCAATTTAGAGTGTTTAAATTTCGCACTGAAACACTTAGAAATAATTAATTTCCCAAATTTGTTTTTTCCTAAAAATTCTCTAAATTTGATGAAATACAATAAGTCCTTCCTGATCTGTCGACGGATCGAATTTAACATTATGCATTAATCATTGACTGATAGCTCTGTCTTCCATCACTGACATCGTTTCCACTTCATTTTTTTTAAAGTTACCTTTCCCGTTTTTTTTCGATCATACATTTGCAATAATTCAGAAACCACCAAATAGTTTAGATGAATCCTTTCAGTCTATTAAAGACGAGTTAAAAGTACCTATCAATTCTAGCGCAAATGACTTATGATAGATCTGTTTAGCGTAAATATCCAATTGAGTGTGACTGATTAATGGCAAGTTGAACTTGCACAATGTTTCCGGTTTGAAAAGGAAAACACAGTTTCCAAAATCGAAAAAAATCTAAATGGACTAATAGTGAGCACATATTAATATCTACTAAAAAGTATAGAGTTGTTTAGAAGCTTGACCCCCTGACCTCACATCCTTCCGAAAACAGCAACAACATCTATACAATAATTTCTTCGCAATCATTCCATAATTCCCGCTTCAATAAAAAACGCGGTGGAAGCTCTCCAGTTGTCGGCATTATTCAAATTCATGTCCCAACTACAACATCACTCATCATCAATCATGGGACCGTATGGATGGGGGAAGTGCTCCACTGTGGGGCTAACTGGTAGATGGGTTATATGGTTTTCCAGAATTCTGTAGGAATTAACAGAATGACAGCTCTGTCAGTCATTCCATCTTACTTATCTATCCTTCTAATCTGCTTGTCATTCTGTTTCCGGCTCATGAATTCGAAGTGAAGTTTTGTTGACTTCATCTTCAACCTTTTCCTCCTACATTCTTTTCTTAAACCTCGCTCGTTACATTTATTTTCAGAGTTAATGTTATCGCTCACTGTTATCCTTTGTTTGGTATGTTTTCCACTGTAATTGAAAGTCTTTAATTTTTCGAAAACTTTTGTTGAGACATTCAATTTATTTCTGCATCGAAAATCTTCAAACGGCAATTAATATAATTACAGATAGCACTACCTGCTGAAAGTCGAATGCTTCCATTTACGATTAAACTACCACTAGAAAAACATCGAGTTTACCACGGTAATTAATATAATTAATACCTTCTGGTGATCAAATTTTTTTTTTCAAAATTAAAATTTATATATTTAATTTCTGATAACTTCTCCTTTCTACAAGTATTCAACATACGTATTATACTACCAAAGTGCTAATATCATTAGTAATCTTGATTTTAGAAGCGTTTTCGAAATCCAATAAAGCATTACAGAAACGGCTTTTGATCTTTAATTTCATATGTAATGTTCAGCAACATATAAATCAAAGCACTTAACGCAAAATCATCATATGTATTTTTCTTATATCCGAACATGTCTGTTTCGTCACATATTCCTTTCAGTTGCTGAAAGCATACTGGTTGAAATAACAGTAAGAATAGAATTATAATATAAAATTGAATCCGATGGTAAAGGTTAAAATGCGAAAAGCTAAAGATACAATAAATCCATTACATGATGAACGGTTCAACAGTACTACCTATTTCAGACGAAGTACAGCTTAAAGAGGCAGAACCAAAGAAACGACCAGTCTACAACGATACTTTTAAAGTGACGCAAAACGAAAATCATTAGTAGTGAACTAATACTTTACAGAGTTGCCTTTATAATGTTTACAGAAATTTCTTCTCCTTATTTACCATGCTTAATCGTTGCGATATCATCAATAGAGGCTTGTGGATCTTCCTTGCGTAATAATAAGTATCCTTGCACTTCAGCTGGACTTATTTCCATATCCAGTGTTACTGCAGCTTTTCGAAATTTCACAGCCATATCTTCGGTAATATTATACCCATAGAAATGCTTGAACATCTGTAAAAGTTGTGCTTCCAATTTCCAGCCATTTAAACAAGTATCGTGTTGTCGATTAAATAAATTAAACTAATTTCCTCTTCGAGTTACACAAAAAAGCCATGAGTTTTAGCAAGTTAGTCTAAAAGCATTACATCAGATTTATATGCTCAATAACCAAGTTCGTGCAAATATCACTAAAGCATGATTCATCTATTGTGTAATAGCCTTCATTTATTTTACTACGTTCCCTAGGAATTTCTGAAATCCAGACCTAGATGTTTACCAGTTCAAAAATATGAAGTATCATGTAAAAAGTACGGGACCAGAGGTTGGTTATTAGAAGTATTTCGTATGCATAAAAAATACACCTTAGAAAACATAGCCTCGGTGCAATAACCAAAATATTGCTTCACATCGATACGACCTGGACGTATTAGAGCTGAATCAAGACGATTAACATGATTAGTTGTCATGAAAAGTATTCGTTCATCTGCACTAGCAACACCATCAATCGCATTCAACAGTCCCGAAAATGTCACTCTGTAAATGATAAATTTCAAAACAACTCAACTCCAAATCATAGGTTGTGACTCCTTATTCAACTGTTTAGCAGTGATCACATAGTAAATTATAGATGAGGAACATAACTGAAAAAGTAACATCTCAATCATTAGAATTATTGGGAATTTGTGGCTTTTTGCGTGAATTTGAATAATAATATGCTGCAAACATGACGTACCTAGTTAAACCTTCATAGGCCTTAGAAGACTGCACTGGATCGTCACGAGAACCAAAAGCGGCATCCACATCTTCCAATACCACTACACTCTACACTCAAAATTCCAGTTTATTGCAGCCAGTTAAAACCAGATGCAGTAAACATGAAAATTAATTACTATATAGAAACAAATAAGTTTTGCTTAATCTTGACCAACGACTTACATAAGGAGGTGGAGTATTCAAAAGATGATTTAAGCGATCATCGTCAAGGGTTCGTTCGCTGAGTGATAACATGCACACGCTATAACCAAAATAGCTAGCTAATGCAGCAATGAAACTGCTCTTACCGGATCCAGGAGGTCCGTAAAATAAATAGCCACGACGATATGGAATCCCACGTTCCGTGTACCTTTAAAACGAACAAACCACGACAACTTAAACGGATGAGCAGTGCGAATAGAAAGAACAATTAAAGAACTTTTGCCAGAAAAAGTAGCAACGGAATTGTATTTAAAGTACCATTTGGAAGATGAACAAAATTCCTGGAAATCGTTCACAATTGAATTTGCAACACCGTCGTCTAATATCACCGATGTTAAAGGTCTTTTTCGCATTGGAGTGCCAAAACGACGCCATTCCGATCCTACAGCTCGGTAGACAACCAGACCCGTTTCAACCTGAAAAATTTATGTATCAGCATTCCACATACATGCAAAGGTTGAATTCTGCCAAACTGAAAAAGTTTCGTTTGGAGTTTTTCTTGAAACAAAAAAAAATAAAAAGAAAACGCATATCGAAAGGTTCCCACTTATTGCAATTGGATATTACTAACATGACATGCAAGAGACAAAGCAAGAAATTAACAAACCCGAAAAAAAAAGAAGCAGAATGTATGTTAAATTGGAACAACAAATTCTAAACCAAATAAATAAAGCCACAAAAACATTTACATGTTGCAGCGCTTCAGAGGTGGCTTTATCGAGCAAATTTGTTAAGAACCGCACATCAGTACCTATAATTAAAAGCTCTGAACATTAAATAACGCAAAAAGGAAAAGCAAGACTAATAATGTAAGAAATAAAAATGGAACATACCCAAAGTTGTTAATGTGACCGTTTCAAAAGGTGTATGATAATTTCCTTTTTGTATGACCTGCTTTTCTCGCTGCCTTTCCACCTGAACAATATAAATGAACAAACAAAGAAATAAATGTTTTATTTCTTGCTATAAACAGGAGAATTTCAGTATTTAACTTTGATGATACCTGTATCCATCGGTAATTGTACGTGAAATAATGCATTCCATGCCCTGGTAAATATGTGAAATTTGTAACAGTTCGACCACTTTCTGCTTGGCTAACTAAAGTATGCACTGAGATTTGCCGTGTTTGGCGTGCGCTATTTCGATTAATGTAATCCAGCAACCATGGATATGCGCTAAATTCTACCAATTTTCAAGTAATTGATATTCCACATATACGAACTCCAACATTAAACAAATCAATCAAGAAAGGCATGCCCAAAAAAGAACTATTCGCAATTTCATTTGAACTAATGCTCACGTTTTCAGCGCAATACCAGTGATGTCGTTGAAATGGAATCAAATGCTTGGTCAGGTTATATCTATTCTGAGCAGTATTATTAATTGATAACAAAGGAGAAATACTCACGGATCTTCGTTACTGATTTGCAACGATATCAAGAACCGTCTTCTGAATAATGTATTCGACATGATCATCAATTTCCGAGCAAGCGACAAACACAATCCGATGCCCGCAAGTCCGGCACCAGCCCCAAAGTAAGGATTTGCCGACAGATGGTTGTACATCTGAACACTTGAAATGAAACAAAATCAATTTTGCAAGAGGGTTTTAAGAACAGAAACAACCGAAACAGTTTGAAAATTAAGAATTTTTACTGGTTTAAATCAACAAGCCGAGACATACATAAGTAACCGAAAATCTCAGTTACCCAATCTTAGTCCGCAAATGGACTAATTCTAGGACGACATATCTATACGATACCGACTAAATGATCAAATATTATTAATAAATACTGTTGGCAAAAATAAATAATCTACCCTGCCATAACGAGTTGGTTGAAATGACTCAACGAATATTTCGCTGTCGAACGGTTCTTTCATCCTAAATTCCCCGAAATCCTGCCATCAATTCATCAATAGCTGAAAGACGGAAAGCAGTACCGCAACATACAACTCCAAGCAATAATCCACAACCGGCAAGATTCTAACCTAACGAATGGCACGGAAGCGATAAAATGTTTGTCATTCTGTAACATGGTAACTTGTAACAACGGACTAACATTAAATCCTGAAAAAAATAGTTTTACAAGCTTCAAATTTCATCACTTAATGACAGAGATTAGTCGGAATTTCAAGCAATAACAATTTTAAAACTTGCTTTCGAACAATTTTTAAACATAACCTTTTCAGTATATGTTAATTAGCTGAAGTGAGAAACTACAAAAAAATTTTGCAAAAAATGCAAATTGTAATAATATGGAACTTGGCCATAAAGCAAGTAAGAACAGATATATACGACCAGTCACGCCGGTAAATTAGTAACCTTTAAAGCAACAAGAAAAAACCCTCACACCGTAAAAGATCGGAAAACATCCATGAACTCAGAGATAGCTCCCCCCTATATTGTGGTTTTCCAGCGACCATATTTAACGCTGCGCTGTATGAAATTACGAAACCCTAACTATATTTTCCTTCTTTTCGGTCTACTTTTTTGAAGATGAGTGCTTGTTACAAACAGACGGTAGCAACAAAATAGTGAGATTTGTACAAATAGGGAAGGAATAACAATATTACTTGATATTACCGTAAAGTCTTATCGTGTCTCACATATACACATATACATAAATATACGCAATACATGAATACCAAAATCTGTTGAAGTATAGATACGAAAATGCCAGACTTGGGAGGTCCCAAAAATCATGTTATAATTACGTCTCGTACGTCATCCTTGAATGTACCACATTTCATATCTGATGAAATTTCTGTGAGAAATATCATTGATACTTTCTTTCATTCCCTTGTTCTCACTGCCTCCTATACGTTGTTTCAGTTCTCTGAAGTAATAACGAGTTTAATTGTCGTGTAAATTGGAAAAGGGGAGAAAAGTATTTGAAAAAACTCCCAGAAAAAGTTCCTTTATTTCCTGAAATCGTAAATAAATCGAAGTTAAGTTCCATAAGTGGTGGTTTTTCTTTTCTTTTTTCAGCAACGTAAAGAAATCTTTTTTGGTGGTAAACGACAACCATCAACCACCAAAACCATTCTTTAACAGACAATGGCAGAATCAAAAGCATTGGGAGGATTGGTTCGCTCTACTAGTTTGTTTTCTTTTTCGTTTTTCTATAAATACAAAAAAATTAATTTAATTCCTGCTCAGTAATTCTAACACAACAATTAAACAATTATATTTGACATTTCTAGGCGACAACTTTTTAGTATCATTATCATGAAGTCATTCACATAATTTATATGTGTTCACTTTTGTTCTATGAGGATGAACACGAATAAAAATTGAGCAATAAAAAGGATATGATTTGATTTTAATAGGAATGAATATGAATAGAAGTTTCAAATGATTTAAGCAAGCAGAAATATTAGTAAGTTTTGGGAAATAAAGATAAATATTTATATCAATCTAAGTAAAAAGGAATGTGAAAAGGAATTACGATGAGTTAAAAGACATGAATTTTGACCTTATTAGGTTACTGATGTATTAAATTTGACATCAGATTGTCGTCAGATAGTGAGTACAATACAGTAGTAGGAAAAGAGGAAGTATGAATATAAATACAGTAATGAAGAGGAAAGAAAGATTTCTTATCATGAAGTGATTTGCATCATATTGATAGACTTACTGATTAGCAGTATCTGTTAATATTATACACATGGCAAAATGGATGAATGGATTTACTACTCATTGGTCATAATTTAGATTTAGGGTCATAATAGCAAAACTTCGGAACTTTCGAACTGATAGTTGATGCAAACAAGATGTCTTTGCAAGTAATTGAAATAATGTTGCTCATAGCAATGCGAGAAATTATATTTGAAAAGGAAAAAGATATTTTTCGGTTTCGTTGAAAAATTTTGCATTTTTTCCTTTTTTCTTTTTGAGGCAAGGAATCGATAATATCCGCGATTAGTCATGTTGGTGATTGGGAAATTGGTGATCGCTGTCAGATTGGCGGAAGAATGGGGAATATTGTATATATTGGACCAGCAAAGTTTGCACCAGGTGAATGGATAGGTGTTGTCCTCGACCATCCACTTGGGAAAAATGATGGTTCTGTTGATGGACATCGGTATTTCTCTGTGAGTACTAAGGTTTTATCAGAAATTGAAAACTTTTTTTTTATTTTGGATATGTTCACCAACCAAAAAAAGAACATTAGCATCCAATAAACTGGTAGATTCCTCTGAAATGGTATGCGAAAGTTTTTCAGTGTGAACCAAATCATGGATTATTTTGTAAGGCTAGTAAATTGAAACATATACAATCATCGAGCCTTTCAACTGAAACGTCGCAAAATAATCCATTTTGCAAAGAATACGGGTTTGCATTTTATGCTACTGTTGCTTCATTTTTTTCCTTCTTTTTCTTTTCTTAAACTTATAAAGACTTATTCATAGTGCTCATCGATAGTCTCTCTAGTCCAAGTGAATGAATGTTTTGGCATTGTCAGTCGAGGCTAGAGGCGAAGAATTAGTTAGAAGAACTAACGTTAATGTCTGGTGATGTGTAGTGTGGACTTTGTATCACCAACAGGAAATAGTTATGAAACTTTCGAGTATATCTGGAATTGGAATTATAGTAAATTATATTATGTTATTTTTGTTTCAAGCTATAAAAATACTGAAAAAGAAAAAAATCTGGCTTCTGTTTAAATTGCTCGCTTTGTTATTTAGATTGGAGATCGGTGATCGAGTTATTGTATCAGGTGGTAAATATGGAAGATTGCGCTTTCTTGGAAATACTGACTTTAAAGAGGGCGTTTGGGCTGGCATTGAATTAGATCAACCATTAGGTAAAAACGATGGTAGCGTCCAGGTACTTTAAATCTAATCATATCCTTATCTTAAATTTTTTCGAAACGGTTAATTATATACATATGTATGGAGTGGAATTCCACTACTAAAAATTTATTAAATTTTAGGGTAAGCGGTACTTTACATGCAAAGCACCATATGGTTTATTTGCAACTGCATTAAAAGTTTCTCGTGCGCCCGAACAAACTTCTACTAAATTCAAGGTATGTTTAGGTAATAAGTTCTTAGTTTGAAATTTTTTACATACCTGTTTCTACACTTACGTATGTATGTAATAATATATGCATTATATATATATATATATATATATATATCCTTACGTTCGTTTTAGATAAATTTATCGTACGAAAAACCGCGAATAAAAGATAAAGCTGAAATGAAATTATCCACATCACAATTCCGGAATGTGTCACAAGGAGAAAATGGTAAGTGTATCGCCAACGTCTACTTATGAGTTGATTCATCCAGATTCCTTTTGTTTTGAAATTGAATTTGGTGTCATCTTCCAAACCTATAAATGTAGCGCGAAAGTTTTCAGGTTATGCAAAATCATACGTGTGTGATGAGAAAAGCCATGCAATGCCGGAGGTGAGGTTAACGCCATGCCGACCCAGCTGTGACTTTGCTGTAGGTTGTGAATTTTTCAAATGTAGAAACCGCATTCTATTAAGCTAATGACTGTTTTTAAACAGCCGGAATAATACAAATGTAAAAACAATGGCGAAATATGTTTGTAGAGTACGAGAACCCAATATTGGTAATTTTTGTTGCGCCTCAATTTAGCTAGTGTTGGATCCTTTCATTTCAGGCTTTACTGCTTTGCGCATTGCCGTTTTTC